TATAATATATTATGTTATACGATAAACAGTTAAAGATACCTATTATATAATGTATAAAATGAAATATTGTGTTATCATTTTTCATCTTGAATTTTTTAAACATAGCCACTCAATGTTACGCGRAAAAAAACAAATTAAAACGTTTAATGTATTTGAGCCAAATTTTGTAACTTCAGAATTTTCAGTTGTCTTATTTTTAATACTTCGTAACRGAAGATGCCTATACTTGCCAACATTTGATCATTTAAAAATACATATGTGAGCTTTAATGATTTTAGGCTGAAGTCATTAGTTTAAATAGTTTAATCACTGAAATGGAAACGTGTTTAAAGACGTGATTTTTATGACGTTATCATTGCATTATTTTATTGTACAAAATTAATTTTTGGTACACATAATTTTATTTAAATTTGTAGTAAAAAGTTTACTACAAAAAAAATGTCTTTTATTTTTATTATGTGCAATTAAATATAACMGTACTTTGTGGAACATTGGCATGTATATGAGAAGGAGTTAGTAAGAGTACGACACTATTTGTTTTTTTGATAAATTATTTTACCGTATAAGTATATACGTACAATATGCACCTACCTATGTTTATTTTGTTTTATGTTTTGGCTTAGACTTTGTAATGGCATTGTCATTTGTCTTGTATAGTGTTGTATCGTGTTACAGAAAACTGACTGTTGAAAAGAAAATTACACATAATATTATTTAAATATTTTACCCGTTGATCGATCTTCGCTGTTTATATTGTATTATTATAGCAGTGACAAGTCCAGCGAGATAATAAAAAGAGTCTCTCGCAACACACAGATCTCATTGCCCCTTATTAATTAGAGCTGATTTTTTTTTTTAATAAGTTATCATATTGAATTAAGAATTCTTTCACGATTTACCTATAAGCATAAATAAGCACCTAAGTCATAATTTTTGAATAGTCCCTTAAACACTTCAAACTCGTTTTTAATAGTTTAGTAGTTTAGGCATACTGATATGGTATGTAGTTTTCCTTATATATTTATCATAATAACGGTATACTGGTAATCACAATAATATTATATTAATGAGTTGTACAATGTTTATATCATCAGCCAAAAACAATCCAATAAAATATACATATTACCTATACTGGTCATTTTCTATATAGTATAATATATACATATTATACTATATAGAAAATTATGTTACTTCAGTTAATTACGTAGATATACCTATATTGATATTATAATGTAGTATAMATGTGTTTAATACAATGTATATATGTATGTAGATATAATCATTAAACTATATTATACTACCTATATAGACCCGTTAGAACGTCCAGTTTACGTGCGTTACCGTTAATTGCTGCATGTGTATTATATCTACATAATCGTTCTAAATGCATCAGGTGAATTGTGAGTACAGTCAATATATGTTTGGTAAATGTCTCGGTACAATGTTTGCGTGTCTGTTGAACGACAACAACTTCAGGAAGCAACCAGCACAAAAGCGCACAAAAATATGAGCTGTAATACAATTTTAATTTAATAAGTGCAACATATTTGGTCATATACATGCAAKGTTCCTATCTACGTGTTGTTATGAAACGTTGAACTTTGGTTTACTTAACATACACTACACGATTCCAGTGCAAACAATGTGCATATAGGTATATATAAGATCGCACGTGTCGAACATTAGTCATATTACCTATTATCAGTTTATATAGAGCTAACAAATTTTTTGATCGTGTCTTTTGGTGTCGGCGAATTTCGCGGCCATGACCACTGTACAGTATACCCACAATATTACTATCATATGATTACGGTATAACGTATAAAGTCCGACAAGTACACAAACTCTCTTGAAAATGTTTGTCATTTTATAGTCATGCATTCGTTTTATGTAAATAATATAGGTCTACGCCAGATCGCCCAGTGAAAGTAGCCTAAGAGTGGGCGACATCATACGGAAAATCGAAGTATACGACGCTCGAGACTTGAGACATTTGGACGCTCAAAATTTGTTCGGAAACGCCGACCAGTCAATAACTCTAGTCATCCAAAGGTACTGTTATACATAGATATATAATATACATAGATACACACACACACAC